CATAGGCCGCCCAACTAATGCATTAGAGACAGAAAAGAGCGAATGCGCACGCTTTTATTATCTTGTATATGTATCGGCGCGCGCTCTTAGCAAAAATGCGGGTTACCTGTGGTATTACGTCACTATCGCGCGCCTCRCGGGATACAAACTAGTCTGTGACAAGGTATGAAACACTGGTCACGTGATGGATCGATGTGTGCACCAGGTATCGTGTSCTCCCCTCCCTACCTTTTTTCATTCGTGAAGACTTCGCGACCCATCGTAAACGATCGTAAACAATCGTGAGTTTCTCGAGGCGAAAAAAAATGTCAAGGATAAAGCTTTAAAATTCAATTTTCTTTAAAAAAAGGAAAGGAAACATACAGACAAGAAGCAAAATTAACAAAAAACACAAACAATATGAAAAGTTTTCGAGGTTTTCTAGTTTCAAACGACTATATTAGCTATATTTAATTGACTTTCCATTTTGATAGTAAAACAATGAAAAGCTTTATAAATCCTTAGCTTTATTATCTCTAAGTACAAGAAATAGACATATTTTGAACAAGTTTATTATTCATAGATCTTAATTACCTTGGCCTGAAACTACATAGCTTGAGCAACTTCTAAAAATGTGCTTTGAAACCGCATCGCGAAAAAAAAAATGGTTAGGTTGAGTTGAAGCGACTCAATTCAACCGAACGAAGCATTTTCGGGTTTTCAAACATCAAAAATCTCTACATAACAAAATTCATTATCTAAATAATCCGAAATAAAGCAGTGAAACGTAAAGGTTCCATAAAATGTAATGGAGAGTTCTCAAAACTGCCGGTGGTTTGCAAGAAAAAAGCCGATAGATTTCATAGAAACTAACAAAGTGCTTGACATACCTCTCAAAGTATCAGGAAAAGATCTCTAGTTTCAACTAGTCCCTCATTCAAGAAAGCTTGCTTTAACTGCATATGGGCATAAATTTAAGTCTTATAAGCTTAAACTCAAGTAAAAATCCACGTAAGTTATGAACTTTTCTGCTCCATTTTTCGAGTTTTTGAAATGAGCAAGAGTCTTCAATAAGATCTTTGCCTTTAAAATAATTGTTCCTCACAATGTACTGTCTCATCTTTTGCATGAAGTCTCAAAGTTTCAGGATATTGGCATAAAGCTTCCCATCAAAAACTGAAAATCAGCCTAAGACCAACCAAGGACACGAATCGGACACGAGCGAATGCACGGTAGCGGATGACCCTCGGAAAAATCTCGACTGTTTACGAAAGGCCTCGAAGTCTACCCGAATGAAAAAGGGTAGGGAGGGGAGGACACGATACCTGGTGCACACATCGGTCCACGGCGAGTGAAATGCTTAATTTTAATTTTCTCGTCACGTAATGTACATTTCACACTGAAAATCATGAGGWAGGTAGGAAACCTKACGATRTGTTGTTATTTGAAAGAAAATCGTCGATTTCTGTTGTTTTTCGGTGAAAAAGGAGCAAAATTATATTTGTCACGTGACCAGTGTTTCATACCTTGTCACAGACTAGTTTGTATCCCGCGAGGCACGCGATAGTGACGTAATACCACAGGTAACCCACAGCGCACGCCGATTCGATAACATAATATAAAAGCGTGCGCATGCATTCTTTTCCTTCTCTCAAGCAATAGTTGGGTAGCCTATGCTAAGGATTGAAATGTTGCTGGGGGAATGGGGGACTAAGGTAGACTTGTAAGGCTGCGTTCATAATGTATACTACAGAGGGGGGCAGGTAAAATTTTTTTATTTTCAAAAAAAATTTTCAACACCCTGTCCACAACTAACGGAAAAATTAGCAACTCCCCAAGCAAAAATAAAAAAATTTCACCCCCCCCCCCCCCCCCCCAAAAAAAAAAGTCTTCCAAGGAAAGTGCAGATCCAAATGACAATGATGACACTGATGATGATGATGAAGTTGATGATGATATTAATGATGATTAAAATGATAAAAAAAAGACAAGTTACTTGTTGGTTTTTACCATGTTCTCTATAAACTAATATGAAATTTAATCCGTTAATTGAAACCTCTACAATTTATACCTTGTATTCCATTTGTAATTAATAATGGTAATTGAACTGAGTGGAGTGCAATTTGGTTTGAAATTATCTCTGATGACCCTACRAAACCAGCTTGTAGCAATAAAGCATTGAATCATTCTAGGCTTTAAGTACAATTTTATTTTATACAATGCTCCTTGACAAAGTGGAGCACTTTTTTGAAAACATTTTCGATAATTTTAAGTTAATTATTTATATGTATAATTGTATTTTTTGCTAAGGCCTCAAAAGACTTTGAAACATACTTCATTGTGTATTGTATTTTTATTATTAAAAAAATAATACTCTTCTTCTTTCACAAATTAACACGACATTAATCCGTCAAAACTAGTTTCATTTACTTGTGTAACGAAACAGTACAATTGTATGTCGACTGAAGAAGTTTATCTAAGTAAACAAAACAARTTTTGACAGAATAATGTGTAAGATGAAGAGTATCAATATTATACCAATGCAATTCACAATAAATTTACTTTATAATCTACAAGATATAGTAAACCCTGTATAAGATATGGAAAACTAGAGAGTATAACCCAATTGTATATCCTGTTCAAGATGTGAWTGCCAATAAACATACCCTGGCTGTCAGAACTTACCCATTGTAAATTATAGAGAGTATTTATTTTGGGCCAGAATAGTTAGAAATATATTCTATTTATTATCCAAATTTTCTTTCTTTAAYACCTTGATTATATGTATTCCTTCCACACTTTAGATGTTTAAATAGGTAGTTGAGCTGAAATAATTGACTTGTATTAATTCTTGAGCATGAAATGCAGCTAGATACAAACTCACAAATGAAATTCTTTTAGATTTAGAATCAAATCAAATAATGATGATCCACAAATCAAATTCATGTGTTTTTAATGTTTCAGGCATCTTATGAAAACCCACCTCATATATATGCACTGACAGATAATATGTATCGAAATATGTTGATTGACTGTGAGAACCAGTGTGTAATTATTAGGTAAGTACAATTTCAGTACAGTAGTTGTGTTTTCCTGCAGACCATTTTTATAGTGCCTTTTATTTCTTCATTTACTGAGTTTGCCAGTCAAGTACAATTGACTTCTTATAAGGGACCGCTCATTAATTATGCCTGGGGGGGGGAGCTGGAGGAAAAGTAGGGGGACTTTGAAAAATAAACAGACAATGAAGGGGGGGCTTTAATGGCATTTGCTGACTTGAAGGCGGAGTTGAAACACAAAATTAAAGTATGTATAATATATAATATCAGTGTTTTTTTTATTTTTATACATTTCTTATCAATGATCATTTTAAACAACTTTATTTTCTTTTAGAGGTCTAAGTACATTAAGCATTCACTTGCTTTTTTGTGACTCCTTTTAAAGTTTTAAGATTAGCTATTTTACATTGTTTTATACATATTGGATTTTCCCTCAATGTCAGAAGGAGGAGCGGCTCGAAAAAAATATTGTGATAGAGTAAGGGGGGCTGCGATTTTCCCCAAGGTTTTTTTGACTTTTCTTCCAGACCAGCCTGAGGCATATTTAATGAACAGTCCCTAAATGAAAATATTATTAATATGAAACATTCAGCATTGCCATAAAACAGTTCCTTGAGGCCTATTATATCTCAAAAACCTTAAAACAACCAATTATGAGGGGTTAAAGTCACCTTTTTTAAAACCTGCACGTGTAAATTTTCAAACTCATTCATGATTATGACTTGAATTAAAGTCGAAATATTGTATTTTGTAACTCTACCACTCTTTGTTCTTAAAGTCCACTTCACCCAATTTTTTTTATATTGGAAAGAAAAGACTTTTGTTATTTGTTGTTTGTAACAACAATTTGTACAAGCAAATTTAAATTCATTTATTTAAGTTACATTTTGAAGCGAAAACAACCGCGGAGAAAGCCAATTTTGGGATTCCTGTGTGCCTGATCAAAGTCTTTGTGATAACATATAGGGAGTAAGTCGTTTGAGAGACAACGATAGAGACCTACAGTGAAATGACAGTAAAAATCAAATCTGAAACAAGAGAACGTGGAATTTGAACAGCTGTAAATACTACCTACATATATTGTAAGAAGTTATTTACCTCGGGCTTTAAATAACTTTCCCTGTTCCTCGGCCTCGTTCCTGTAGGAGTACTAGGAATTTTTTTTTTTGGAGAGCTCTCAAAAAAATAAAATTGTTAATTCATCAGTTTTTTTCACGATTAAAGAGAGAATTAGGGCACAAAGCTCCTAGTGAGAATGTTTTTCTTTGCTAAAACGGGATGTGAGATTGGACGATACAGTATCAATAGGAATTACAATAATATTAAAGGCAATATACAGCTATTTACTCTTTAAAAGCCTGATTAATCTAGTAAATACCTCTAGATCTGATCTTGCAAGTCGATTTAGTGTCTGGTTTGACTGATCTTCGTTGTTACTGTAAAAAATTCACGACTGTATTTCATCCAAACATATTGTGTAGTTCCAGAAAATATCCATCCCCCACCCCTCCGGAATTTCCGATAAAGGATAAAAGCCGCGGAGATGGAACAATGAAGTCCAGCACCACATTGATTTGATATGCATGTATATCCATGATTTTTCGGAATTCTAAGTACAATCTCTCGGCCGGAACGTGAACGGAACGTTTCTTTACTGTTTATATAAAAATTTCCACTTTTATTACGATCTAGAAATCAATCTTTTCTTCCTAAATAATATGTATTTTTTCAGCATAGTAAATCTTAAATGTTCGATTTTGGTGCTTTAGCTAAAGCTCAAGCTTCTTTTACCAAGTTTTGAAAATGGTTTCTATCATGATCTTAATTATTTTATATTGGTTTTCGTTGTCCGTAATAAGTTTACTTCCTGTGCATTCAAAGTCTGTTGACTCTAAGGCTTCATGTCCAGGCACTATATTATAATTAAATAAACCGATCAGAGGCCAGATACGATGTTTTTCACTAGTGAAGAAAATCATGTCGGTTTTTACATAACATGATTGCCTTCACTACTAGTTTTGTCATTTTAATTTTTGCTTTGTTAAAAAAAACAACAACAAAATATGGCTACGAACCGATATGAGTCTCTTCGATAAATCTGAGCCGAATTCACTACATTCTTTGATGGCGAGCTTTGAGAGATATTTGAAAAAGGAAAACTGTGGATTTAGCCTCTGAAAGACCTTCCCTTCAGTCTGAGCAAACTTGCAAGGCATTGCAGTCCAAGCAAAAGACTTGAAGCATAAGGGAATACGAAGCAAGCCTAATGCCTCAGATGCTTTAAGTGAATAAGATATAAAAGTGTTTTAAGTGATATTTAAAACACGATCTCGAGTGTTCTAAATGGCTTGAAAAACTCCAACACTAATTTGAAACTCAAATCTGTTAAAATTCTTGGGGAAATTGCCGTAAAATTAAGTTTTGAGACAAATGGGGCAAACTGATCATGCACAAATCACTTTACAAAGCACTCTTGTCATCTCACATTGAATACACATAAAGTAAAATAGAACCACTGTTGGCTTTTTACTGCAATCGGTTGACATCCTGCATTGGTCAATGATCAGGTATCAAACCTGAGACCTTTGCTAGGGTCATGGACCTATATATCTGATAAAGGTCAACCTTATTAGTATTCTTTATAAGGAGTGTTTTATCAGATATAAAGGTCCATGCATGTGACCAAATAGGCTCATTCTATTGGCCTAATAACTCATTAATTATGTATGAGTTTTTGAAAAATACATTATAAACAACTGGTCAACTGTATTCTGTCATTTAATATATTTGTGCATTGTACTGATGGAGAGTGGGCAGTGGCAAGCAACTAATTATGTCATTTATCAACAGTGGAGAGAGTGGTGCTGGGAAGACAGTTTGTGCAAAGTTCATCATGAGTTACATTGCAAAGGTTTCTGGTGGTGGACAAAATGTTCAGGTAAAACATTTCAACCATCTTTGTTTGTTTAATAGCAAAAATGTTTCAACTAGTAATTGTTTAATATGTGTTTTCTAGAGAGTAAAAGATGTCATCCTAGAGTCAAATCCTTTACTAGAAGCATTTGGAAATGCAAAGACTGTTAGAAACAATAACTCTAGCAGATTTGGAAAATATGTGGAGATMCAGTTTACAAGAGGAGGTCAACCTGATGGTGGAAAAATATCAAATTTTCTTCTTGAAAAGGTAAAGCATYTTTCTTAGCWCTTTCTAAGCACTTTCTTATCTATAAACCAAAATAATTGTACCTCCTCTTTCCCTYGCTAATCTAAACATCCATTTTGATCCAAAAWGTTTTTCCCTTTTGGAACTTTCCTTTGGTCTGTCTCTTGTTCATTAATAAATCAAAGTAAAGCTGTAGAATTGGTCACTCAAATCTATATTTCTTGTTTTTTTTAATAACAGTCAAGGGTGGTCACACAGAATCCTACAGAAAGAAATTTTCATATATTTTATCAAATACTTCAAGGAGCAACAAGAGAGGACAAAGGTGCATTTTATACAGTATTGCATTTATAAGTGTTGTTCTCAATTTAGTCAATATAGTATACCTATTGAAGCTATAGTAATTGCTGTAGTTGATGTATTGTTAGGTAGTTTCTATAGCTAGTGTAGTTGCCGTAGCTTGTGTAGATGTTGTAGTTGCCATAGCTAGTGGTGTGGTTGGTAGTTGCTGTAA